TTTATTTATTTATTTATTTTTGGCAGCTGGCCAGTATGGGGATCCAAGCTCTTGACCTTGGTTTTATAACATTGCTCTAACCAACTGAGCTAACTAGCCTGCCCCATAGTGCATTATTTAATTATTTTCTTTACCATTGCAACTTATGACCCATAGATGTTTCATTAATTACGAAAATGTATTTGTATTACTACAGACCTTTAATAATGAGATTAATTGGTCAAGACTTAAGTCAAAAAGTTAACTATCAACCAGCCAGCTGCCCCTCACCCCGAATAAGTTTTATCTATTGTATCCTTTTCTTCTAACAAGAACAAAATAAAGTCTTAATGATTTTGGTAGTTTTTTTCTATTAAAATGTTATTTCAATCCCTGTACCTGCCAACTGCAAAAAAAAATAAAATATTATTTCAAGATTATAATTATGTCTCTAATTCTTTTATAAATTGTATCATATTAAAGTGAGTATGCAGTGATTTTTCTTTTGAAGATGTTTGTTGTGGTACATTAACTTTCAGGATGAGATAGAATTTGGGGGAAATCATGAACTGTCCGTTAGTCCTCTGAATATTTCCCCAATAGCCTCAGTTTTAGACTGAGTGATATACTCAAAACCACTAAATATTTTCAAACTTCTTGTATTTGAAATGTTACAACTTTAACCCANATATATATATATATATATACTAACCCAGTTCTTACAGTAAAATATTTTACATTGCTTATATTTTATTTTTCAGTCATCAACTGTAATTAAAGTTGAGAAGATATACGTAGTTTGAGGGGATTTGGGAAAGAAATCATCCATTTATTGTACAATTTTGTATCAGATAGGTTTGATACCATTAGAGTTTGTTTTTGTTCAGTATAAGAAGTTATTTGGAGTCTCAAATCTTGGAAATAGTCATTTAATGCATCGAGGCTTTTAAAACTTGATTATATGTCTACTTCCTCAGAAAGCAAATAGATGGTGCTGATAATACCAAGGTCCAGGGTTTGTATTCCCTTACCAGCCAGCTGCCAAAAAAAGAAAAGAAAGAGCAAATAGATAAAACAGCAAATATGATAGATTTGAAACCGTTAGGTTAAAATTGCTTAAGCAAAGTAGTTACTGTATAAATTGGGAAGCCTGGGGAGTTTTGCAGTTGTCAGTTAAACTAGTTCTTATTTCCTAATCCAATCATACAGAGACAATGATTATAAGTTTAGACTCATGCACAAGTTGAGAGGTCAAATGTTTTATAGTAGGGTAAGTAAAGAGTAAAAGTTTTATTTGAGGAATAGGTGAGACTATCTTGTTTATGGAGCTGACCTCAGAAACCTAAAAATTATGCAATGTCTTTTCAAGGAATTATTAAAATATATAAGCCATCCTGATAGAAATCTAGAGAGTCTCAGTTCTCTCTGGTACACTTAAATCACACTCTCTTGCTGAATTGTTTAGTATAAGAAAGAAAATATGAGTTAGTTCTTAGACTTTTTTTCCGCTTCTAATACCTGCCAAGGCTTTACTCCCCCCCCCCCCCCCCCCCCC